GCAGGCTTTGGCCTCGGTTGTTTCAAATACTAATACAAATTTCCAAGTAATTGAATAGAACATTATCGACTTTGCAATTCCTTCATCTATATTAACATCCATATGTACACTCTTATTGTTCTTAATAGTTAACCCAAAGATTAATTTGAAAGTTCACATAATACACTTTTGTACATAGACATTCTGCTCCATTGTCTTTCCAAATATTACTATGACACCTCAAATCTTCACATTAGGATGGAAGTGGGAGTATGAGTGGTATATCAGTATAGAGGTCAACTACTACTAACAACTTGAGCTTAAACTTTTGAAAGCCTATGGGCATTGGTCTAAAGAGTTATTAGGTTAGTGATGGGCCTTAACCCAAGTCCTTTCAATTAGTATTGAAGTGGTCACCTCTCGCAAGTGTGGGCCCATGTTGATCATCACAACTGGTGATAGTGTGGACCTCACATCACTTGAGGTGGATTTTATGTTTCCATATCATTTGTGAATTATAAATGTGAAATTTTTATGTTCTCATTGCATACTTGCACCCTTGACAAAGCTTAAAAGAGATCACTAAATTGACAAAAGGCAAAAAGAGGGATAGAATTCAGGGATTTTTTAAAATAGGCATTTTAGTAATTTTATAAATGACTAGTATATATTAATTTTCTTGAGAGCTTAAGGCGTGCCATCGCCCCTAGGCCCTACCTATCTTCCGTCCTTGCTGTGTTAATTTCCTTGTGGTTTGTAGTTACAATAAGTTTTTTTAAAAAAAAAATTTTTATTATCTTAAAAAATATAAAATAGTAATTAAAATTAGTAAAATATACAATATTAAAATTTAATTAAGAACTATAAATTTACATTTTCATATAAGCTATTACGGAAAAAAAGTCTCTGTAAAATATTGTCAAATAAAGCCCAAATTCGCTAGAAAATTTTCGCTCAAGAACTTTTATTTTAGTTAATTAATAGACATGCTTCTATATTCTGATAACAATGAATCCATTACAAAAAAATCGAAGTTGGAAGAATGTACATGATAATGGGTATGAAACTTGTAAATCATCCTCTTTAATAATTTGAGACCAAGTGAACCCCAAAGCAATTTAGAAATCTTTACACAAGCTTTTCCACATAGAAATAGAATTAGTAGTCTTATATTAAACGTTTCAACCTTGAACCATTCATAAATTTGATCGGGTCACTTAATTTGGATCTAGACATGCAGTTGTTGACATGGTCAAAACTTGACCCTAATGTAAACTGAGTGACAGTCAAAACTCCTTTTGTAGAAACCGAGGGAATCAAATGAAGAAAAAAAACTAAAGTAATCCTTGAATTTTAAAATTTACACTAATTTGGTCTATTAATTTTGAAAGTCCAAATTCTAGCTGCCGTTGGGAGGGATAAGGGAAAAGGAGGAGGAGGAGAATAGTGAAAAAAGAGAGAGGAAGGGAGAAGAGGTGACGGAGGAGACGATGGTACTTTGCAACTTTAGCTATAATTTAATGTATTTATTAATTGATGCCCTTAATTTATTTATTTAAGCTTAAAATGACTTAATATTTTTTTCCTCATTCTTGTTCAATTAAAAATTAAATTTTATAAATATAAAAGTTATCATCTTTTCTCTTAAAGTTTCCATGTTAGCCTATAAATTAAAAAGACAATTTTGGGGTAATGATATGTGCACAATCTATTACTACAAATTTTCTTTTTTGCATTCATATGTCAATAAATCAATAAATTCATATAGTATTATTGTTTTGTTACGAATGAAAATAATTAATTATTAAGTGATATATAAGATTGTAAACAAAATTGTGTAAAATTTGTTGCTAAATCATTTTTCCCTTTTTTAATGGAAAAACTTGCCACATTAGACACTTAATTGACAAGAAGATCAAAATGGGTAGTAAAAAATGAAAAGTTAAAAGATTATTTATTAGCAAAGAAAAGTTTGAGGACTTAAATAACAAAATATAAAAGCTGAGGGACCTTTAACCTTTTTTCATTTTTTATGAATAAGAAAATGTTTTGCAGTCCCTCCGTGTGAACCGCATACCATTCAACCTCATCATCTATGGAGGTCTTATGGAGTTATGACAGACTCCGTTAACCATAAGACTGATGGATTTGCAATCTGTGCATGACGGACAGCGTGGTACCTAACTCTTTTACTAAAATGGAAAACGCGTGAACCAAGTCAATTTTGATTCAAGTTCCAACAATCCATACTCGATCCAGACACGGTGAGGGCCACATGCCAAACTGACAAGACTAGAAAAGTCGGTCTTCGTCTGTCTTTTTTTTTTTTTTTTTAAACAGTATAAAATCTTTTTTCGGAGGAAGGGAGAATAGAAGACTTTGGGATTTGATTTAAATTCTTTAGTACTAAGCACGTCCCGTAAAGGATGGTTACCACCAAGTGCTGGACTTCGTCTGTCTCTTTTCTTTTCTAAACAAGCCAACCTTTTTCATTTTTATTGAATTGAACGAACTGCTTGACCTCCTCGACGACTTTTTTAATAATAATTTACAAAGTCGTTGTTCTTGCCAAGCTTTTTCTTAATATACAAAGTGAACTAAAAATTTCTAAGAATTCCAAATCCGTTGTACTGAGTTCACATATGATAAGGACACCCAAATGTTCTGAGGGAAAAAAAAATGAAACATGTTATTTTGCA